ATAGTTTAGCCACTTGGCATAGAGCAAAGATTTATGCCTCAAATCAGTCTAATTTTACTTTGCTGATAAAAGGAGGATATATAGAATATTGAGATTTTTAGAGTATTTTCAGTCAGATTTGGATATTAAACAATAATATGTATACTTCGAGTACCACCTACAGTACTCAAGAAATCTGCCCCATAAGTAAAGAAATAATAATCTACAGACCAATATAATTATTTTTGATGATAAAAATATAAAGAATATTGATTCTGTATCATATCATTTGTTGCCAATTATCAAACATGAAATTAGTACCTATCATGTGCTTTAGATTACAATGATTTGTCTGTCTTCATACTCAGAAGCTCATTCATGCCTTTATTTGTATTTATTTTAGGGAAGGGTCTACAGGGTGTTTAGGGTCTCACTACTAGATCAGATTCTTAGTGATCTGCCTGTTTACAACCTCCTAAGAGCGGGATTATAGTCATATGCAACCACGCCTAGTCTCGATTGCAGTCTCAGCGTGCCCCTGGGGGCACGGCTGGCACGGCAGGCCCAGGAATCGAACCCTATGCCCCTGAGCCTGCTTGCAGGTACTTTAATCCACTGAGATATTTGGCTAGTTCAATACCTTTAAACTAGAAATATAAAGATTAGGTCTTGCATTTATGTGAGTATTCTTTTATTGTTCATACTGCTTTATTCTTTCTTATGAAATTACTTATTTTACTGATCCTTTTTCTAATTGCCATAGACTATTTCTATCTCATTGGCTTCAGTGCTTTCTATTCTCTAGACTATTTGCAAGTCTATGCTTATATTTCTTTAATTGTCAAAGAAATATCAAATTGTTAAATTGTTCCACAAAAGATATAATTTTCAAGCTATCAAAACACATGATGCATACAAATATTGGGTGGACATTATTAAACATTTGGTGGACTCATTAATGAGAGAACTACTTAGATGGAAAGCTGATTCAAAATATTTTTGAGGAATAGGAGATTATAGCAATTTTTTTTTCCAGAACCGAGGATTGAACTCAGGCCCTTGCACTTGCCAGGGAAGTGCTTATTCTACTGGGCTATCTCCCCTGCTCTTATAAGCACTTTTAAAAAGAAATATTGGAACAAGATTGCTAGGTTGAATACAGAAATGCTCAATATCATGCAGAACAATAGAAACATAAAATTTGGTAATTTTTTCTGCCAAATATAAAGCTGTAAGTTAAAATACAATATTCACAATATTTGGGCTCTAATCAAATTTTAAACACAGAAAGAACACCTCATAAATTAATAAAGACTTAAAACTTCTTAAGTGGGCTTCTTAATGTTTGATTATGCTATTGAAAAGAGATGTTGTATTTGTTTCTGATTTCCAAATCTCAAATGCTTTAATTTGTGTGATACTAGAGATTGAATACAGAGCCTTTTATTTAGCTACATTCCCAGCTCCCCTCTTTTATTGTTTTGAGACAAGTTCTGAGTTACTAAATTAATCAGGCTCTACTTGAACTTGTGGTCCTCCTGCTTCAGATTCCCGGAGGAATATTATTTCTAGATATAACAACACTCCTGAACAACTACAAATACTTGGCTGATTCAAATAGGTGCAATTTGATATGGTCTTTAATATCTCTTCTATATTGGTGAGTATACTGCTTAATGTGGCTAATTAGGTACTATAACTCACTCTATGACTTCCAATTAATCATAACACTTTGTTATTAATTTCTTCTGCAAAATAAGAAACTGAAATAAAGTGATTACTGAAATCCCTACTAGTTTAAAAAAGGTTGTAATTCCAGAACACTGGAATTAGGAAAAACTAAACAATTTGGTCATTTAACTAGTATATGATTTAGACAACAGCAACCCCTAAATATCCTCCATAAGTACTGGGCAAACCAACTTTATCCTAAGAAAGAACTCTTATAAGCTACCCCTCAGAAGAGAGCTTTGGAAACATTCTGGACCCTTGATCTATACAGTATATGGTATCTATGTCTACAGTAATGCATAAGAAGCATCTATGATACATCACACACACACAACAGATAATTTACTTTTTCTCTCACATCTATGATGAAATCAGAGGTTCTGTGGATCTTAATTATGCTTTCTCAGGAAATTCATCTTCTCTTAGCTAAGACAGACTCATGTGTTTCATGTAAGCTAGTTGTATGACCCTAATCACCTCAGAGGAACTGCTGCTTGTGCTCAGAATGATCTTTCTCCAGAAGTTTAGCCTGCCCTGCTCTTTATGGTGTTGACAGCAGTGTTTTAGGACACCATGGAAGAAATGAGAACTCATGATGTTAAGACTTAGAAAAGACACATAGTGATTTCTAACAAACACCGTGGGCCAAAGAAAGTGGTAAGATAGCTTGTGGGGAAATCAACTCCATCTCATGGTGGAGAAGGATGGCATGGATCACAAAAGGCATGGACCAATTGTGTCTTTTTGTAACCACTCTGTCATAAAGAACATGACTCAGGATTTCAGGGAGTTGCAGAAGGGCTCTGGTGTGAAGAGGAACTTTAATATTCTATGCTTCATTCTGAGGTGCAGGTAAATTACTAGATTAGCTTCATCCTTTGCAGTCTTGTTATCCAATGTCGTGAAGTAGCACCAGGGCAGGTTTAGCCATTTGTGCCACTACTGAGATACTAAGCTCCTGCGTACTCTTTCAAAGCTACACGAACGTTGCCATTTTCACCTCTGGTGGGAACACGCATCTTCTTGGCTTTGTGAAATTGTCAGGTAATCTTTCTTTGAATCTTTCCTTATGGTTTTGTTCTTTAGCTTCAGACATTTGTTAATTAATCTTGGCCTAGCAAAGTCAACAGGAGTCTCTTCAGATTTGTGGAGTTTGTCCTTTGTTTAAGATTTTCCATGTTTGTCTTGTGGACTCCAGCAACATTGGTCTCTTCAGCTTCTCAGGCCCATCTGCTTGGTCAGATTCTGCCATATCTATCTCCTTGGCTTCCTCTTTCCTGCAAATTGGGAGAACTGTTCGTGATTCTCGTCACTTCTCTCCTATGTATCCAATTCTTACTTTTTCCCCCTCTTCCTTTTTTTTTCTTAGCAGTTTTGTCTCAATTTGGCCTTCAAATATATTTCTCTTTGCTATATTTTGATTGTGTCATGTGTGCTAGTGTATACTGTATTGCTAATACACACTCTTTGAGTGTATCCTTATCCTTTTTTGTTATCATTACTATGTATATAACATTTGAGAGTTAAGAATAACCAATAATTATCCCTTTCTGTTAAAACAATATACATAAGCTGGAGATTAGTTAGATGCCATTATATTGCATGCTGTAGAAGAAATGTGCATGGTAAGTAATGATATCTTTAACTTTTAGGTTGATGTCAATTTTGCTTTCAATTTTGTTCACCAAAATTAGGAGCCATATGCTGGGGTACAATTTCTCATTAGTTCAGCTGCAGCCTTCTTAGAAGAATACTCCAAACTGACATGAAGAATGCTTTCTAAATGTCTCAGAGTCTGCTTTGGCTCTGTGCTTTGTGAAGCTGTTGCTTTGTTTTGCTTTTTTTTTTTTTTTTCCTGTAGTCATTGGCCTTGAAGTCATAATTCACAGGTACATGAAGTATGGATTGAACATTTAAAAATATTTGACTAGTGTGGTACTGAACAAGATATTTTTAGAATAAGCCTTTCTGTCTAATGTGAGCTCCTCATTAATTATATACAATTTAGCTTCTTTATGTCTTATCTGTGAATTGTCCTCCAAGCTTGGACCCTCAGTCAGTCAGTTATGAACAGCCCTTCTTCTTTTCCCCTTCCACTCCATTTCATCATCTACAACATATTTCATGCAATGACAAGGAGAGATTGTGTCATATAATCTTATTATAATATAGAATAAATGTAATTATGGAGAATAAATTACTGTTAAATAATTGTAATGGTTTAAAAAGTTCATGTGACTACTTGAAGACTAAGCAATTGTTTTGTTTCATAGCACAAATGGACAAACTGTAGTGGACTATTTAGTTATTTATTGTATACATCAAAATCATTAGAGAATTAATTTGATATCTTACCACAAAGCTTTATTTATATATAGTTTTATTTTACAAATCAATTAATTTCATGGAAAATATTGAACTCCATTTGTATTTAATTGCTTCTTATTTTTTAAATTTTTTATTCATTTTAATGAGAAAAATAGCAATGGAACCATTTCAAAACAAGTTAGTAGGACAGTTACAATGATTAATACATCGCATATTGTTGTCTTCAGAATAGTTATTTAGAGGATAAGATGTAGACATGACATCTTGTCTAAAGACTATTAGTACACACCTTTCTTCTCATTTAACTAAGAGAAAGTAGCTGTATATCTATCCTATCTTGTCCATATGTATCTATCTATATCTATATCTATATCTATATCTATATCTATAACTACAATATGGTCCTTTATTTATATCTCCCTTTTTTGTTTTGTTTTATCAGAGATGGGTGTTCCATTGCTGTTAGACAAGCTGTATTTGGAGAAGTCATACATATATAGATTATTATTTTTGTTATTTTGTGCATATGATCTATAATTGTTTGCAAAACTAAATGCACTTATAAAGCTCTTTGAAATGCATACATGACAGAATAATTATTGCTGATAAAAATTTGAACAAAGAGCTTCTACAGTATAGTGTATACTTAATATCAAGTATAAATTAATTTTTAGCACTAAAATCTCATCTTTATAGATTTACACTGTTTATTAAGGTGGATATTTGAAAATAGAAGATTTTGGATTTGCAGATTCAAGTATGTGCCATTTCTGTTAGATACCTTTATGCTTTTGCATCAAGCTAAGCGGCTGTGGAGCATTTATAGAAATTAATTTTGTTAATAAATCAATAACCTCATGTATTTTCATCCCTTTAAATTTTGTACAAATCTACATAAAGTTATGTAACCAATATCAATTTTTAAAGTTATGTAACCAATATCAATTTTTTCAAATTTTCAGAATACAAATGCCAATTTGAACATGAGAAAAAGAACAAATGCTTTGGTTCACTCGGAACCTGATGTTGGCAATAAAACTGGAGTGGGAAACCATTTGAGTAAATCTACCCCTAGTGTTGAAGAGTCTTCTGAGGCCACACCGAAGTCATACTTAGCTTCCAGTCCAAACCCTTTTAGCCGGGCCAATGCAGCTGAGACAATATCCGCTGCAAGAGGACTTCATTCTGCTCCTTCTTCGACTCCCAGCCGAACTGGGTGTGTGTCAGGACAACCTGCAGTTGGATCTGCTGCAACACGCCACGTATTTGGATCGAGATTGGAGCGGGTTAAGACCACAGTGAATACTACAGCGGCTTCTGGGAAGTTGTCAGCTGCAACTCCTCCTCCTGCTCCGCCGCCTTCTGGGTCTGGCACAAGTAAAATAGACAAATATGCCCGCATTCTCTTTCCAGTCACATTTGGGGCATTTAACATGGTCTATTGGGTTGTTTATTTATCTAAGGACACTATGGAGAAATCAGAAAGTCGAATGTAATTTTATTGCTATAATAGTATCCTAAAAGCTGATGAAAATGCAGACTGTCTTTTTAAATGTTTTTAAAAATGATTATTCTTTGCTAAAATAAAAATTCTACATAATATTTCCATTTAAAAAATGCAAGCCAGTTATTGAGAGAGTTAATTAATTCCTCAGTGAAGAGAATGTGAACCATCTTTCTTTTCAGAATGATTATTTAAAAAGGATCTATTCAGTGTTCAAATTAGATGGAATACAGACTATCCTGGAACAAGAAATAGGGCTATTAGAGATATGTGATGCATATTTTTGCATTGAAATTTGAAAACAGACTACAGCATTTTTAATTCCCTATGAATATCAGCCAGCTACCATAAATTTTCCAGTGGCACTCCCCTTAACCAGAATTGTTTATTGGATGTCATATGCATCAACCTTTGGTGATTGAATCCTGCTAAGAAAAGGAATTTTCTGTTAAAACATTGGGGAAAGGAAAATGGAATAAACCTACCCCCAATTCATGCAGTGGAAGCTATGCCACATCGAAAACAAAGACACAGACTAGGGAAAGTATTTCCTTTCATATGTTGGCCCACACAGTATTTAACAGTTAACTTGAAATTTTGTGCTCCGAGCCAAAGTTTAACTCACTGTATGAATTTTTTGTCATAGTAGCTCCACTTATGTACTGTATTCATTTATAAAATATTTATTCAGAGCCTCAAGCCTACTATTTTCTAGGCGCTGTGGTAGACAGTCTCTTATGGAAGTTCTTTCACATTTATCTACAATATTTCTTAAATAGAACAGCCAATGCATGCTGAAGAACCATAATTTAGCAGAGGACATTGCATTCTTTAATGAAGGAAATTTAGTTAGAGTCTAACAACATATCCAAAATATTTGTTTTTTCTATATTGATACAGGATAACAAGCATATTTGTTAGCCACACTGAGGTTAGTAAATGTTAGTACAATTTCAGCAACTGGTTATCAAAATATGAACATGTGGTACAATGTGTTCTGTAAGTGAAAAACATTATACCTGAAAAGAAAAATCTGGACACTATAAGACCTAATAGGTTACCTGTCTCAAATGTGATAAGGATCACATGGTGGTATTTGATCAGAATCATAGAATCATCCAGAAATGATAACTCCACACAATCCTTTTAGATACTTTTCCCACGTAAATCTATAGCAGTTGGCGAAATGCTAGCCATCCTAGACATTTTTGTTTCCATAGTTTCATAATTATTGGTAGGTTTTTGCTTGTTTTCTGATAATTGAAGTAAGGTTTCATTACTAAGGAGGGTAGGTCAAAATTAAAGACAGAAAGAAAAAAAAAAGAAAAATGTCATTGCCACAGAATGGGATGCCACTGACTGTATGCCATTTTTCAGGATATTCATGTAATGACTTATTTTTCATCATGTAGGCTTAATTACTTAATTGAATTTCTAGCAGTTATTTTACCCACCTCAATTCAGGTCCAGTTTCTCACTGTGTTGCCTCCAGATTTTCTCCTTCTACTTCTCTGTTGTGCTTTAGGAGTGTGTATGTTCTGGGCATTTGGAGGAATGTATTGAGAGAAATGGCCACATTACAGCCATGATTGTTGTGTTATTCCTTAAAAATTACATTGATAACTTGGCAACATTTCACCTACTGCATTGCCTAGTAAAGGTAGCATATGAGACATATACAATGTGAAAATGCCAAACATCAATTGTAAGTCATATCTAAGAATTTCTTATCTATCACTCTAGATTTTGCATAGAGTCAACAAATTTTAAGTCTGTAAGATGCTGTAGAAATATGTAGCCCAAAACCCTCATTTGAAAATTAATTTTAGTAAAATGAAGCCCAATAAATTTTGTGTATATGTATATATTTAATAAAGAATACTTGTACTAAAAAGAATATTGTAAGTTATTTTCTGAATGTGAATGGATTTCTGGTATTGCTTGAAATTGTGGTTAAAGGCTATTATCATTCCCTTGTCTGTTAAAATAATCTTATTTCTTTGATAAGTAATTCATCAAACTCTTACCTATTCTTTCTAAAAATTATTTAAATTTTATAGTTTTTAAAGGTATGTAAACAAATGATTTAACATTTATAGATCTGAGGTTCAGATGAATTCATATTTTTCTTACCTTTGCATTAGAAGATTTAAAAATAAATAAGGTGAGAAAACAAAAAGAAATTCAGAATTAACCTGCAGATTCTTGTTCATTTGAAAATAAATTGATCAGAGAATCTCATAATTAGTATAAAAAGAAAATATTTTGCTTGTACACAATGTGACTGTATAATTTGTTCTATCTAATTGAATTTCATCAGATTCATTCAATGATTTCCTTTTTTGTCATCATTTCTATCTCCCCAGTAACTTAAAGCTATATTAGATTAAAATACTTGCGTGAAAAGCCAGGCAGTTTTCATCGTTAGAAAATCTTGAAAATAATTAAGTGATCACCCATTCCTGGTAATTTGTGAAAAGGAATAGTACGTTTGGTTGTAAATGGCACCCTCAAGTGTTACTATATTTTGAAGATGAAATTTAACTTGCTTTAGTATAGTACCTGTATTTCAGTTTTTAATCCAAAGTTGACCACTAACTGCAGCATAATAACTTTCAATTTCCCCCAAGCATGGCTAGGTATAAAAATAAAATTACATGATTAATCCAGAGTTAAAAGTGACCTGCATTTGTATATATACATAGTGCTTTGAATAACATACTTTTAACGTAATTGAATTAAAGTGGGTAGACAGTAGTCATCATTTTTGTACATGAAATGAGTCACAGCAAATTTAATGACAAAGATAAAAGCAAAAGGCTGGATAAACTTTTGAAAGGTCAGTTTTTAATCACCTCACATTGGCTGTTTTAAGGAATACATAAAACATTTGAGGTTTATTTCATCCATAAAGTGATGAATTATGCTTAGCCTAAAGGAAGATATAAACAAAAAAAGCAAAATAAAAAAGTTTACTTTCCAATTTCTTGTTTTCCAATGTCTTCTCTTTGAGATCTGTGAATAATCTCTAGTAAGAAAAGCAGTGAAAAATCTTTCTTTCTCTTTCTTTCTTTCTTTCTTTCTTTCTTTCTTTCTTTCTTTCTTTCTTTTTTTCTTTCTTTCCTTCCCTCCCTCCCTCCCTCCTTCCTTCTTTCCTTCCTTCCTTCCTTCCTTCCTTCCTTCCTTCCTTCCTTCCTTCCTTCCTTTCTTTCTTCCTTCCTTCCTTCTTTCAGTGCTTGGGATTGAACTCAGGGATTTTGCACTGATCTATGTTCCAAGTTTTGCCTTGTCTTGTCTTTTCTTCACTTTTTCTTTTTCTTTTATTTTGAGACAGTCATGCTAAAGTGCTAAGTACCTAGACTGGATGAGAATTTGTAATATTCCTACTTCAGCCTCTCATAATGTTGGGATTATAGGTGTGTACCATCCTGAGTGTACATTACTTGATTTTTAATTTTGACTATTGTTGTTTAGAAAGTCACTTAACCTAAGACTGATTTCTTATGAAAAAATGGAGGAGATTGTTTAAATAATATTTTTTCAATCTAAGTTGTTTGCCATAAATACACCCAGTATTTTGAGTCATGGGTACATGATTATGGGAAAAAAAATTATTTCTGGTTAACAACTTTAAGCTATTACTTAACTCAAAGGTAGGTCTCCTTACCAAAACAGAAAGAAAAGTTTGAGTGGAGTTGGGGAGGAGTTGAAATAGTAAAGAAAACTTCTCCACTTAGGTCATATGTTTCCTGTCTGGTGAAAGATTTTACCCTTTAAAGACTAAATAATTTTAGTTCTTTCTGTTTTCTGTTTTTTTTTTTTTTTTTTTTTTTTTTTTTTTTTTCATTGTTACTGATTGGGCTTCTCAATGCTGAATACTGTGCTAGTTTTCAGATACACAAACATAAATAAAATTAGTTCCTTTCCTTGGAGGTAGTCAAATGTGGCAGTTTTGACAGATATGTAGACAAAGAATTTGGTGTGTAGAAAGTGATTTTGTAGTACAAGGGAGCGCTAAAATTAAGGTGATGCTTGCCTAAGAAACAAACACATTGAGACCTCAAAATCATTGAGAATTAAGAGAAATATTTTATTGGAGGGCTGTGAGTCTGAGGTAGACCAATAAAATGTTTCATTTTTTTCCATTCCCAATTAATCTTAGATTTTAACTTCATCTTTATTTTAAACTCCAGTTACTTACTATCATTTATAAAAATGAACATGGCTATAAAACAGAAAATTAAGAATTGTCTTTTTTTTTTTTTTTTTTTTTTTTTTTTTTTTTGTACTTAGAATGGAATTCGGAACCTTGTGCTTTGCAGGCAGGTGTTGTGCTGCTGAGCTATATGCCACACATTGGAATTTTCAAAATTTAAATGCAATCTCAAAGTCCCACTACCCAGAAATTAACACTTCAAGAATGTAAGGCTAGATATAATTATATAGATATTATCATATAGAAGAGTAATTTGATTAAAACATAATATTAGAAGAACCCCATATGTCAAATATGTTTGTGTTTTATTATAAAAATTTCACTTTTCCCTGTAAGATAAATTTGAGGCATAAATCTGAAGAAATTTTTGACATATAGATAGTTTTCTTCAGAGCAAGCAATTTTAGGGTCTGCCTTGCATTTCATCCCAGATTTCAATCTTTAGTTTGGGAAACTTTTCTCCTTTTATATGTGTAAAAATTTTTTGAAAAATAGTTATTTTCAATAATTTTGTCTCATGTCATTCTCTATAATTATTTTGTGTTTATAGTGTCTTGTCAACCTTTACCAACCATACCCACAAACATATATGGCACATGGGGTTCTTCTAATAGTATGCGTTTTAATCAAATTACTCTTCTATATGATAATATCTATATAATTATATCTAGTCTTATACCCTTGAAGTGTTAACTATGTTAACCTCATAGTTATACTTTTACCTCAGGAGTTTTCTTTAGTGTTGATTTTACCTTTATAATTTCTAACACAGTCTTCAATCCCAAATTATTTGTTTTTTATTGTGTTCTTGTACTCATTTTCTTTCTTTCTTTCTGATTTTTTTTCTCTTTATTGAAGCAATATAACTTTTTTTAAAGCATCTTTCTCTATTAATGAGAGCATTGTGTGGTTTGGAGGTTTTTGTCGTTGCTAAGACTACAGAGAACCATTTATACAACTACTTCCTCTGCCCTCTCCCTTTTTTCCTTCTGGTATGAACTTCATCTGCTTTTCTTTTTATTTATTTATTTATTTATGCATATTTTATTCATTTTAATGAGAAAAAAGATAAAATAGCAAGGAAAC